AGACTGGAGTGCAGTGGCCGCTCCCGGCCACCGCAGCCTCGACCTGCTGGGCTCCGGCGATCCTTCTGCCTCAGCCTTCCGAGTAGCTGGAATTACAGGCATGCGCTACCATGCCCGGCTGATTTTTTGATTTTTATTGTAGAGATAAGGTCTCGCTGCCCAGGCGGGTCTCGAACCTGCGGGCTCAGGCAATCCACTCACCTCAGCCTCCCAAAGGCGCGGGATTACAGGCTGAGCCATCGAGCCCGGCTTGAAGACATTTTTAAAATTGTATATGGGCATGCATGTCTTTCGTGAAGATGGGTTTCTGCTGCCCAGACGGGCCTTGAACCTCTGAGCTCAAGGGATTCTCTTGCCTCAGCCCTCCAGAGCACTGGGGTTGCAAATGTGAGCCACCACGCCTGGCTGGTTTTTTGTTTGTAAGCGAAAGAGCGTATCATTTAGAATAGGACCCCTGAGTTCAAACCTGACTTCACCAGCACAAAAGCTCTTCATGATCACGTCTCCTTGATCAGGTCACTTGTTTTAGGGCCTCGTCTTTCTCTTAAAAATGGAGACGAAGCCGGGCTCGGTGGCTCAGCCTGTAATCCCGCACCTTTGGGAGGCTGAGGTGAGTGAATTGCCTGAGTCAGTGAGTTCGAGACCCGCCTGGGCAGCAAGACCTCATCTCTACAATAAATCCAAAAAATCAGCTGGGCGTGGTAGCGCATGCCTGTAATTCCCGCTACTAGGAAGGCCGAGGCGGAAGGATCATCGGAGCCCAGCAGGCGAGGCTGCGGTGGCCGGGAGCGGCCACTGCACTCCAGTCTGGGCAACGGAGTGAGACTCCAACTCAAAAAAAAAAATGGGGATGATACTGTCCCTCGCCGTTGTTGTGGGGATCAAGTGAGGTCAGGGGAAAGCATGAAGTCTGGGACAAATGGAGAATAAACGTTTAGTTAGCAAGGGTGAAGGTGTCTTTTTCCCAGAAACACAGGGCAAAATACCAGGAACACAGCAGAGAGGACTGTTCACACAAAAGTGGCTGAGTTAAGAGTTTTTTATTTACCGATGTTTTATAGACGGGGGTCTCGCTTTGTCACCCAGGCTGAGGCATGCTACAATCATAGCTCGCTGCAGCCTCGACCTCCTGGTCTCAAAGGTCCTCCTGCCTCTGCCTCCAAGTAGCTAGGACCACAGGCATGTGCCACCACACCGGGCTAATTTTTATATTTTTGGAGAAATGGGATCTTGCTATGTTGTCTCGGCTGGTCTTGAACTCCTGGCCTCAAACGATCCTCCTGCTTCAGCCTCCCAAAGTGCTGGGAGTACAAGCATGAGCCATTGTGCCTGGCCAGAACTAAGAGTTTAAAGTCAGAGCAGGCAGTCCAAGTTCTGAGCTGCTTTATGATGGTCATCTGTGGATAAACGATGAGCCAGATTTTTGAGTCAGCGATTTACCCTCATGCTGCTGCTTTTTTTTTTAATTTTCATTTTTTGTCACCCAGGCTGGAGTGCAGTGGCATGATCGCGGCTCACACAGCTTCAGCCTTCTGGGATTAGGCAGTCCTCCCTCCTCAGCCTCCCAAGTAGAGGGGTCTCACTCTGTTACCTAAGCTGATCTTGAACTTCTGGGCTCAAGAATCTTCCTGCCTCAGCAGTGCTGCGACTATAGGTGTGAGGCACTGCGCCCAGCTGGATTTAGCCTTTTTGGATCACTCTGGTATGGAAAATCTGGCTGCCTTTTTTCCTGCTTTCATCTGTAGTAGAACTAAAGGGTATCAGTCAAGATGAAAAGAAAGAAGCACTTACTGAGTGCTGGTTTAGTACTCTGCTGGTGCACTGGGAATGCCAGAAAAGTATGAGACATGAGGCTTACCTCCTGAAGCTTATGTTCCAGTTGAAGAGAGAAGATGAATGGGTACGGGTGCCAGTCCTCCATTTAGAGTAGTGATTGAGACGCCAACTTCATATGCAGCTCTGCTAGATCCTAGTGGGGTGCCAGAACGGGGTGTACAGTCCTACTGAAAGGAAAGGTGCTCTTAGGTAGTGACCTGCAGGGAGTGAGGAAGTGAGTGCCAGAACGCTCAGTGAGAGGAGGAGCGGCGGTCTGGTTGTGCTGGACTGGGTGATCCCGGACGGCATGGGGAGGTGGGTCTGAAGCAAGGCCATGGATTCACATTCAGGTTCAGCTTCCAGGGTGAGTGAGGCTGAGCCAGGAGTCTGGGTGAACTGAGGACTGTTTAAAGATATCCAGGTTTAGAAATAATTGAACACAGTGAGGGCTGTGATGTCTGGCGTGTGTGTCTGTTAGATCGTGAACACTGAATGTTTTCAGCCCTGAATTTAGGGCGGAAATTGGGCGGTGTGTGAGGCGAGAGGGCACTGCGGATTGGGGGAGTGATGGGAACAACGGCCTGGAGGTGGATGTGGGCCCCTCCGTGGCTGAGTGGGCAGAGCAGAGAAGTCCTTCAGGTGAGCCAGGAGGCATAAGGTTGGCCAGGAAAGCTGGGGCCAGAAGGTGGAGTTCAGGCGGGGAGAGGCTGGGGGGGCTTCCGGTCACCTCTTCCTTCCCTCGTATTCTCGTAGCTAGCTGAGAGTGACTTCGCTTCCACGTTCCGGCTGCTCACGGTGTTTGCTTACGGGACATATGCCGACTACTTAGGTAATGGAGGGGCCGGAGCTCTGGCGTGGTGGAGTTGGGAGAGGGGCAGTTTCTGGAGGGACTTAGAAGAAAGTCCTGGGACAAGGCTGGACTGGCATGGGGAGTTTTTTTTTTAACGCAGGCAAGGGAGACTAGGGCTTCTCGCAAAACTAAAATGAGGATAAAACTAAATAAACACTTTATTCTTTTTCCCTAGCTGAAGCCCGGAATCTTCCTCCACTCACGGAGGCTCAGAAGAATAAGCTTCGACACCTGTCAGTCGTCACCCTGGCTGCCAAAGTGAAGGTGAGTAACAGTCTCTCCAGTCCTGAGTCAGTGAGGTCTAGAGCATCCTTCTGCCGGTCCCTGGGAGTTTGACTAAGACAGCCTTGACCAGATGGCGGCCATAGCCCCCTCCCCCCCCATCCGTATCTAAACTCTTTGCAGTTGTTGAGGCTGAATATCCTTCTTAGTTTTCTGCTTTGTTTTTCTTTTTCTTTTTTTTGAGTCGGAGTCTCACTCTGCCGCCCAGACTGGAGTGCAGGGTCCACTCCCGGCCACCGCAGCCTCGACCTGCTGGGCTCCGGCGATCCTTCTGCCTCCGCCTTCCGAGTAGTTGGAACTACAGGCGCATGCTGCCACGCCCCAATAATTTTTGATTCATTGTAGAGATGAGGTCTTGTCAAGCTGCCCAGTCAGTTCTCGAACCTGCAGATTCAGGCAATCCGCTCACCTCGCCCTCCCAAAGTGCTGGGATTACAGGCTGAGTCACCGAGCCCGACCCTGTTTTTATTTTTCAACTCAAGTTATTATTATTATTTTTTTGAGTTGGAGCTCATTCTGTTGCCCAGACTGGAGTGCAGTGGCACGCTCCCAGCCACCGCAGCCTCGACCTGCTGGGCTTAGATGATCCTTCTGCTTCAGCCTTCCAAGTAGCTGGAACTACAGGCGCATGCCACCACGCCCAGCTAGTTTTTGTGATTTATTGTAGAGACAAGGTCTCAACTAAAGTTTTAATAAACACCATTTGTAGGCTGGGCATGGTGGCTCAAACCTATAATCCCAGCACTCTGGTAGGCCGAGGCAGGAGGATTGCCTGAGTCCAGGGGTTCAAGACCAGCCTGGGTAACTTGGCAAGACCTCATCTCTACAATAAATCAAAAAATTAACTGGGCATGGTGGTGAGTGCCTGTACTTCCAGCTACTTGGAAGGCTGAGGTGAAAGGATCGCCTGAGCCCAGCAAGTCGAGGCTGCAGTGGCCGTGAGCGTGCCACTTCATTCCAACCTGGGTGACAGAGTAAGACTCCAACTTACGACTTTGGGAGGCTGAGGTGAGTGGATTGCCTGAACCCGCGGGTTCGAGACCTGCCTGG